ATTAAGAAGTTGTTGGAAAAAACTTTATTTGTTTAGATTAAAGACAACAAAGATATTTTAGGCTAAAAATAAACACAAAACAACGTTTTCAGAAGCTGTTGTTGTCAGCCATCCTGCAGTTGTTGTTCACAACAACCAGTCTGCTCCACTGGCCCAACTTCGCCATCAAAGTGCTGCACGTTACAGCCTCCAACCACCAGTTGTACGCTACAGATTCCTCGTATTTCAACTTCGGTTCGAAATCCACCTGTTACCTGTCAAGTTAAGCCTGCTCCAATAACCTGTGCTGTCAAGAGTAGGTTATCGCTTACTGCCGCCAGCTCAGGTCAACCTCGTTGTTGCTGTAGCAGTTGCGGTGGTCCATCCTGTGCTGTAGGAAATGGAGGAGCACCATCAATTTGTCAAACATCGTCTTCTTGTCCAACAAGCTGCTGTTCCTGCAGCCAACCAGCATTTAGCTGTAGTATACCGTCATGTAGTTGCACTACACCAGCCTGTGGCTGTTGTTCTCCTTCTTACAGCTACAGCTTACCATCGTACAGTTGTGCCGTACCGTCGTGGAGTTGCAGTACACCGTCTTACAGCTGTTGTGCGCCATCATGCTGCAACTGTTACAAACGACTAAAGAGATCATTCATTTCTTTCAGACAGTCTTGCTGGCTTCCTAAACAGTAGTTGTTAATCTCTTAACATTTCAATTGTAACGGCTATTGTAGTACAGTGTATGTATATAAAGAAGTTTGCAGTTCTGTAACGTTCCAAACACGGTAACAACAAGATGACTTATTTTTCTGTAGATTTGAAGTTTGACACCATTTTTCTAAGGGTTATTACATAGCTTAAGCACTAATCAAAATGATAGTATCTATATAGCTTTTTCTAAAAAAAACCTGAAAGAGGAATCGGCTCTTTTTCTAATTGCTTGAAAATTCTTGTTTTTTCTTCGTTTCTGTGTTTCTGTTCTTGACTATTTCTATAAGCAACTGGTTTTTTATTAAGAATTACTTCAGCAGAACAATCTCAAAAAAAAAGAAAAAAATGAATTAAAAGAACGAAAAGTTTAGAAACTGTTAAGAAGATACAGAAATTAGCTAAATTTGCATTGCTCTGACTTCAAAAAGTGTTGGAAACCTTTACTAGTTGGTTTACAAAAAAGTGGAAAATAGAGCGACAAAAAAACTTCATTTTTCTAGATTATTTTAAAGCTGCATGAAAATAAATTCTTATTTAGAAAATCCTTATCTGTTTTAAGCAAGTTTTTGAATTATTTTGCTAAATTAAGAACGTTAAACTGTAAAGCTTTCGTTTGGAAATTAAATGTGAAAAGAAGCTGTAAGTTGATTATCAGACTTACAAAAAAAGTTCTGTCTCATCGCTTCAAAAAAAAGCAAATATTTCTTTAACAGTTTAGTAGGTTTTGAAAGGAAAAGCTTTAACGTATCATCAGTTGATCAGACATACATGTCGTTATTCTTGATATCAACGAAATCAATTTGACCTTATAAAATAGTGTTGTTAAAGATGACAGTCAGACCTATCAGTTTTAACTGAAAATATCAAAGAAGCAATAGAAAGAATCTCTCAATCACATTCTTTTGGCTTAGTATTTTTAACAGGTTTTATTATTTAAAGATTAAAAATACTTTAGGGTGTCAAAAATAGCTTTAAATACATTTTTCAAAACCAGTTACCAAGTTTCTTAGTCATCAGAAAAGCTCAAGGTAAAAGGAGATCATAACGGGGCACAAAAGTTAGTAAAAACTATAAATAAATTTAAAAAAGTTCGAAAAAAACAGTAATTTTAAATATGCCTTGCTTCAGACAAGAGTTTTTCCAAAACAATTTCAAATATTTATTCATCATCTAATCAAAAATACAAACTTCAGACTTCAAAAGCAGTTTCTATCTCCAAATTAAAATTTGAAAGTTTGATGAAAATAAACAATAACTAATTTGGATTAGTATAAAAAAAAAAGATGAGATAATTTTACGTTATAGAAATGAAAAAAAAAAACTGGGTAAGTTTTGTCTAAAAATATAATTTAACAAATTGTCAAAAAGAAGTACAAACAGATATATGGCGATAAAGCTTTAAAGGGTGAAATGTACTTAACAAATTAATTTTCATTAATGTTCAACAAAGCAAAAACTGTTTTAGTTTTTATTTAAACAACAAATTTTATCAGTTAATATTTGCAAAAGTCAAACTTTATGTTATCAAATTGTTGTAATAGAATCAAAAATTGCTGTTGGAAGTGGTGTTGGCAAAAAAACTAAAAGAATGTTTAAAAGTAGACATTGTTGGTCATTCAAAGTTCAGTTGAGATGTTCACTTACATTTCCATATAATTGAATGTTAAACATGCGTACTATTTTAAACAGCAATACTCTAAGAACAAGAAAGGTCGTAAAAGATGACCAAAAACTGCTTTTCAAACTGAGGTACGATGATACTGATTTATGTCACATGTTCGTAAGTTCCTGAAGAAATCTACAGATAGAAGAGCAAGAATTATTTTTAGAAAATTATGAACTAATTAACAGTTTCAATGCAAGTTTCAGTCAAATCTTAATGATTAAATTTAAGCATTAAAAATCTCTTTATTATTTAAAAAACAAAACACAAAAATGGCATTTTTTAGTTCATTTTTAAACAAGAACGTTTGATTTTTTTATTGTTTTTGATCGCAGCTTTTGTTG